TGCAGCGGGCTGGGAGTGATGTGTTGGGTGATGCAGCGGGCTGGGAGTGATGTGTTGGGTGATGCAGCGGGCTGGGAGTGATGTGTTGGGTGATGCAGCGGGCTGGGAGTGATGCTCTCCTGGCTGTGGGGATGTTTCAACCTTCCCCCCTGTGTCAGGGTCCCAGCAGCATTAAAGAACTTTCCTGCCACCCACTGCCTCCATCCTAAAGTATTTGTCTGCCTGGGTTGTCTCCTCCACCTGGAAGCATCTTTTAGCCAAGTCACCCCAATGGGAGTTTGTTTTTAACATGATTTCCTAGGACATAGCCCCATATTCAAACCAGAGGTGTGGCAGGAGAGTTGTTAAGAGCAGGCTCAGCACGGAGGGTGTTTAATCACTTGAACTAAGGATCAAGCCTGAAAACAGCATCCTCTCCACCTGACTGTGGAGAGGTTCAAATGCAGGGGAGAGCCCCTTTGTTACCCCTGTCTGTCACATAACGCTCACGCCTGGCTCTGTTCTCCCGACAGATTGAGTTCACTGCAGAGCAGATTGAAGGTAAGCACAGATTCACCTTTTCCCAGGGATGTCATTAGGAATGGGGAGTCCTTTCTCCAGGTAGTTTTTCACAGCAGACATGAGAGACAAGGCCCCACGCATCAAACCACCAGCATCAGGACAGAAAGGAGATGGGGAAGAGCACTGGTAGGAAGGGAGGAGGCAGGAGATGGAGATGGGAGCAATGCTAGGAGCCAGCACAGGGAGTTCGGACTGCAACACAGGGCTGTTGGGAGCAATAAATGGACCCTGGCTCCTTGCTCTGCACTGAGGGTGCCCCGGTTGAAGGGGATAATCCCTGCTTCAGGCAGGGAAAAGGTGTTTTTCCATTCATGGTGAGAAATGCAGCCTGGTTCAAAGTCAGATTCGTGTGGGAGGAGCAGCCTCTGGTGATGCAGGGACTGAGCTGGGACTGGGATTTCTCATCTCTTCATGCCTCTGTACAGACCAGGGGAGGGACAAGATCTGAGGGCAGATCCTGGTGTGGATACTGGGAGGAGGAGACACAGGATCCTGCAGGCTTGGCTCCAAACCAGCTTTTGAAAGGAGAGAAGAGGACCAGTGGAAATGTGAGCAAGTCAAAATGTGAAGATACTTGGATTTAAGCTGCAGTGATGTCCCAGAATATGTGATGTGCTCCCATGGCTCCAGGTAGTCAGGAGGGGACTGAGCACCCTCATAGTGGTGCCTCTTGACCGGGGACTCACAGTGGGTGATGTCCCTCCCTCGCTCCAGATGCCAAATGGAGGGATCTCATCTGCAGAGATGGAGCCATCGTCAGGACAAGCAGGATAACAGCAGCACCCCGAGGTGCTGGGGGGGACCATGGGCAGGACTACAGGGACACGGACATGGGGACATGGTCCACGGGATGGTGAGGCTCAGCAGAAGATAGAAAGATGCCAAGTAGAAAAGGAGCAAATCCAAGGCAAGGAGCAATCCCTGGGCAAGAATTCCCACCAAACACAAGAGGATGCCTACCTGACTGCGATGTCTCCATCGCCCCATGGAGACTGCGATCGTCTCATCCCACCCAACAGCAGGAGAAGCAATGGCTCCACTTTGAGTGAACTATTGCTGGATGCCATGAAGGAGATGAACCAGAACCTGGAATTCATTAGTGCCATGGACAAGAAACCCACAGCTCTGCGTGCTGGAAAGGCTGTTACCTGCTTGGGCCACTCAACTGCTCAGGGGGACTTGCTGGCCTGCAGGCAATAGGATGAAATCCGAAGTGTGTGGAGCATGTGCTTCAGGAAAACACCATCTTTGCCACCCGCCAGCCTCGGGGTCCTTGGCTTGCCTGCAGAAGAGGAGGGCAAGGACCTGGGGAGTGCTTCCTGGAGGACTGGTTTCCCACATCAACACCAGTGAGGAGCCTGTTGTAGTGGATACGGGTTGGAAGGAGAGGCAGAGAGGCTCTGAGCAGTGCAGGTACAAGGTTGTCCATGTAGCCAACAGCGGGATTAAAGAACCCAGCAGCAGGTCAGGAAGCTGAAAAGCATCATACACAGATGTAAAGCAATCCTTAATTGTTCCTAGTTTAGGCCTTCTTCCTCCAGGTAAAATGTGACACTCAATGGCATGATAATCTATGGGAACAAGCTTGGGAATGAATGTCCTTCCCATGGCACGTGGTCTGCAAGGCTGGGACGGACATGGTCACCCCTCCCCAAACACAACCAACACTATGCTGTGTCTGCCTGGCTGGGGCTGGGGGTGCCAGCAGAGCGATGGGGTGTTGTGGGGATCATGGGGGGCACCCACCATGCACGTGTCCGTCCTTTCCTTGCTGCAGTGGGGTGGGGAGTGGGGCCAGCATGGAAAGGGACATCTGAGCTCTTCTCGTCCCCAGAGTTCAAAGAAGCCTTCAGCCTGTTTGACCGGACGCCCGCCGGGGCCATGCAGATCACCTACGCGCAGTGCGGGGACGTCCTGCGGGCGCTCGGCCACAACCCCACCAATGCAGAGGTCCTGAAGGTGCTGGGCAAGCCCAAAGCAGAAGGTGACAGCAAAGTGGGGCAGTGGGGACATGGTGGGACAAGTAATCCCTGTGCACCCTGGCAGCAAGTGAAGGATTATGTCCCCTGTGGGAAGAACCCTGTGAGATGAAGGAACTGGGAAAGAAACAATGCAGAGGCTTCATTCCTGTGTAATTCCTTCACTACCTCTCCCTGTAGTGACATAAGGGCTAGCGTTAAGGGAGTAGACATAAGGGAGCGGTCCTCACCCAGGAATGGTGGCAATGGATGCTTAGCAGACCATATCCTGAGCTGGTGCAAACCTGACTGGTTCCAATGCAGTTGCATGCCCTTGGTGACAGAGGAACTACCTGCTGGTATCAGTGGTCTGTGTGCAGTCCCCAGATGTTAACACTTTATTCCTCATATGGATCTTCCAATCTCAAGTATAACAACACTAATAGTCCTACCACCTTGTGGTGCTTCTCTCCTGTACTCAGACACAAGACCAGGAAGTTTAAGCCCTCATAGGCTGTTTCCAGCCTAATGAGGTTAATCTCTGACCCCATCTCCTCCTTCCCTTCCAGAAATGAACACAAAGCTGCTGGACTTTGAGACCTTCCTCCCCATCCTGCAGCACTTCACCCGCAACAAGGAGCAGGGCACCTTCGAGGACTTCGTGGAAGGGCTGCGTGTCTTTGACAAGGAGGGCAATGGCATGGTGATGGGCGCGGAGCTGCGCCATGTGCTGGTCACGCTGGGTACGGGCTGGCCTGGGCTGGGGAGCAGGACTCAGCCCGCCCCTGAGCTCTTTCTGGGCAAATGGCTTGGGTTAGATGGGTGGCCTCATCCATGGGAGAGACCTTTTTACTCTGCTACTCATAGGCTTTTGTTAATGGCTCCTTATGCCACCACTTCATGCATGATCTGGGTGAGACGGAGGGTCCGTAGCATCCTCAGTCGCCAGACAACCACTGCTGTTTGTTCCTCTCTCCACAGCCTCCCAGCAGCATTCCCCAGTCTGTAGTTACACACAGCTCCTTTTTAATCCCCTTGTTCTTCCTCTGGTGACTTTGGCTTTCTGGGACAAGGACAGGAAGGTCCTGGGCGGCTGAGAACCCTTTCCCTCACCTCTCCATCCTTATCGTCCAGGGGAGAAGATGACAGAAAGTGAGGTGGAGCAGCTCATGGCAGGGCAAGAAGATGCCAATGGCTGTATCAACTATGAAGGTAGGAGCAAAAGATTCCCATCGAGACCATTCCAAACATGGTTGTCTTGGCTTAGGGTGCAAAATATGTCCTCTGTGAGGACATTGGTGATCACTGAGAGGGAGGCGTGGACCATCTTCCAAAGCTTCTCCAAGGAGACCCGTGAGAAATGTCAAGTGGGGTGGGAACAAGGAGGTTGTGTCAGTGATTTCCAGCTAAAGACAGCATGTTTCCAAGGGTTTCAGGACTGGTTTATCCCCAGTTTTGGCACTGGTTTGTTGTAAGTTATCAAACAAAGCCAGTATCTTTCATAGCAGAGGCTGGCTGGGAACACTTGGAGACCCAGATTGCTCACAGCTCCAAGGGGGTGAAAATCTGGCGTAAGGGGTGGTTAGGTGAACCCAGGACATCTGGGAACCCCTAAAATTGGAGAGCATTGAGGAAAATGGGGGACCCATTTCCCTTGGCCTAAGAAAACTGAGGATAATGGCTCTGGCTCATCTCCAAGAGGGGTTTGGGAAGGTGGGAACAGAAGGTGAAATCTCAGTCCCAGCACAGCACGTCCCCTTTGTCCCTGGGGTGCCCCAGGCTCTGCCCACCCCACCACAGCTCACAGTGTGCTTTGACCTCCCATGCTCTCACTCCTCCTTTTCTCCCCAGCTTTTGTCAAGCACATCATGTCTGGCTGAAGGAAGAAACTTCAGGTGAGTTCATGGGTGTCTCCTGCTGCTTAGTCTGAGATTGGAAATCCCGCATCTAAGAGCCAGGAGCAGAGGAACCAAAAGCCAAACCCCACAAGCAACCCTGCAGTGAGCTAATGCCCTCAGGAACACTCCCAGCTCTGAGAGCACGAGAAGCTGTGTTTGTGATAACGAGCCTCATCTCTAACTTGTGCCATCTATTGAGAGCACCATCAACCCTGTGACTGTCCCTTGTGGCCTGTTTAATTCTGTTGATAAGAAAGAGGTTGCTGCGGTTTATGGTGATACATTTTCTAACCCACCAGGAGCTCAGATGGGCATCAGTGGAAATAAGTCTTGAAAACCCTGCAGCGGTGAATGACTTGATGCTAAGAAAACACTAAATACTTAAGCAAGGGAATTTCTGAACTCAGAAATATCAACATTCCCATTAGAAAGAAGGTGGGAAATGAACCACTGATGCTTGTTAAGCCTTTTGTGTTCCTTTAAGTCTTGCCTGAGGAAAACAAAGAAACAGGGTGAACTATCCCTCTGAAATCTATGCAGTTTAAAAGGAAATCCAAATTCCTAAGAGCTAGTCCCAGCCTTCCCTCAGGTACTGCTAAATATACAAATTAACCACTTAAACATCTCTGTTTTCCTCTTGACAAACCTCTTCAAACATCAGAAGGTTAAAGCGGAGACAGAGAATGCTGAACTTTGAATGTTCAGCATCCTTTTTATCTTGGTTTGAAGCCATTTCTCTCCGGTTCCTGTTCATCAGCTCGGCAATAGAGGTGCTTGGGTGGTGAATGCTGCCGGGAAGATTAATTCCACACAAACCCATTCGCATGTAACACTTTTTTACTGGTGTGGGATTACAGCTATTGACATTTACTCGCATCCCAAAGATTCCTTGTGCTAAGCCCTCTCCTGCTTGTCTCCCAGCTCTCAGTAATGTCAGAACCCACCCAAGCGCCACAAGCAGTGAGATTCCTCCATCCGTGTCCCTTCCACCCTGGATGTCACACATCTGCAGATGTGCCACCACGACAAGTTGGCCTCCACGTGTGTGTGCCTAAGCCTCGGTGTACAATGAGACCTCTGAAACTTGGGTTTAAACCTTAAGTTATTCTGTTCACTATTTCCTGTGACATTTGGCTCATTAAATTCCATTCCTTCTTCCCTTAAATGGTATCTCTGCTTTGGTTTTACTCCTCACTGAAGTGGTAGATGAAAGAGACTCCTCGGTCTCCACCAGCTCCCTGAGACACCAGGATGCTCCCACAGAGAGGGGAAAATGGCAGGTTTATGACCACTCGATGTGAGGGAGGAGTGAGGGTCTTTTCTCATCATCCCATCCTCATGTGGGACCAGGAGCTGGGCTGTGATCTGGCCACATCTTGCTGATGGAGCAAAGAGAGCAAGAGAAACCAGCTGCATCAAACTGTTCTTCTCCCCTGTTCTTGAGGCTCTTCACCTCCCCTCTGTTCTAAACCCACCCTTTAGCCCATCCACCCTACAACATGCTGCCCCAAGAGCATTCCCTCCAGGTCAAGGCTGAACTGCACCACGGAGCAAAGAGGGACCTGCTTAGCCCTGCCACTGTCCTGGTCACAGCAGAGACCAGCAGGCACCTCTCCTTCAACAACACATGGCCTGTCCCAGCCAGAAAAGGCCAGAAGCCCTTTAGAAACAGAACCAACCAAAACCACTAGGGAGAACATGAAAAACATTCCTTTTTCTGTATCATCAACAGGTCCCAAAGTCTAGTTTTGAGGGTTGGTTTCCAGGAAGTTAAGTCCTGATGAACCCATGAGGGGAAGGAAAGTGGGGAAGCAACAGGTCCCACCTTATGGCACAGGACAGCAGGTCCCTGTGGTGGGGGAAGTGTCTTGCCTGGGATGGAGCCCAGCCAGGACAGGGCTCCAGGATGGTTCCTCTCCAAGCAGGCAGCCTGAAGCTGGCTGGGGCCTACTGGATCCAAGCTGGTGGCTCTGTCTCTGTTCCTACCTGCAAAGAACCCATTACAGCATCATTCCAAGTGGTGAATAATTCATGTCAGGTAACTCAGCAGCACACCTGGGAGCAGAAAACATCTTTCTTTGATTTGTTTCTTATTCCGATGTCCTGGCTCCATGACTTTGACTAGAAATTGAAGGTGTTTTGCTCTGATGTGGTTGACTTCAGCTGCCACTTGCATGTTTCTGTGCAGTGACTGAGTAACAGCTGCTTTCTCTTCCCACTGTTTGATTCAAATGCTCCTAAAAAGCAGCACGAGCTGTTTAGAGATGTAAGATTAGACTTTAGCTCCTGCCGGTGGTATTTCTGCAGCTTCCATTAGGCAGAATCTGTGTATCTCACTTCTATAATGTACTGTCTCTGCTCCAACCTGGGAAAGGCTCACCGTGACAGGGTGAGAAAGGACACAGCTTGACTCCGGGGTCACGTTTGCCCTTGCCACCACTATGGCATTGAGAGCTACAAAATCCACCCTCTGAAGCACCCTTGGGGTAGCAGCCAGCAACGCGTGACTCTGAGGACCCGTTCTGTCTCTTTAGGGTAAAGCAGAGCTGATTTGTACTGAAGCAGGTTGGAATGATGCACGTGAACAGGCACAGATAGACCTCTCTACAGCTGTGTACCTCTGTGTGTGCCTCTCTGTCCTGATTCCTCCTCTGGAAAAGCCAAGGATCCCAAGGAGCAAGTGGTTTTAGTCCCACAGACATGTGGACACCAGTGCGTGAGTGACCCCACACGCAGACCTGCACTGCAGGAGTGGAGGAGCCTTATGTCCCAAAATAACAGCCAGCACGCTGTCCTTTTATAGTTTGGATGCTTCACTTGACGTCCAGGAGGCTCCGAGGAGGGCTTAAAGTAACCCCCCACTCTAAGGAGAGCCCATGGCTGTATCTCCTCAGGCTGTGATAAGACAGAGACTCATACCAAAGATGGTCTGGATGTCAGGAGGGTTAGCACAGTGCCCTGTGAAATGGAAGAGACAGACGGAGCCAGCTTTCATCCTGAGGAGATAGAGGCAGCACACGGCAGGGCAGCAAGACCCAAATGAGGATCGTGGCCATGGTCTGTGCTCCTTGAAATGCTCCCTGGCACCCCCAGGCCCACACAGACACACATCTCCATCATCACCATCAGCGTCTGAGGCCAAAGGCCCTTAGGGAAGGCACACATTTCACTGTAGTGTGGCGTTTGCACCCTTCGTGTTCACCAGAATGAGTCGGGTGGACCTGACGGCAAACCAGATACCCATCCCAGGGGGAAAACACTGCTCCACGACCCAGTTTATGATGTGTCTCAGGTCAGGGACTGAAGAAAGCTTTGCCTTTCCATGCCAACCTGCTCACACCCCAAAAGCAAACACCTGCAGCTGTACTAGAGCAACAACCCACTTGTAACTATGCTATTCAGAAACAGGGAGAAGGACGTGGAAAGAGAGCAGGGAAGCAGGCAGGGCAAGCCTCCCGCTCCACACCAACTGCCCAACACAAGCACCACTCACAAGCTTTTCCCCTTACACAGAGATGCCGCCGCAGCTCCCACGTGTGCTCTGCAGCACATCAGGACGCAGCCCAGCACACCGGTGGCAATGTGTCTTTAACAAACTCAACTTTAGTTGTACCATCTCTATCCCACCCTTTTGGGAACGGAAGGCTGCTCTGTGCCCGACGCGGCCCCTTGCTCCCCCGGCGGTGCCCACGGCG